TTAATTTGTCTAACGTTTCGGTTTCCTAAACGGAAACCATTATCAAAGACTATGAATCTATTAAAAGTTTTCCGTTAATATCTTGCGTCAGATGCAACCTTGAGGCGCGTACTATAGTCTAATAGCTAGTGAACGTGCACGCGCAGACCGATTTGAACGCACGCGTCAGTAATCTCGCAAGGTTGCATCTGACGCAAGATAATAACGGAAAACTTTTAATAGATTCATAGTCTTTGATAATGGTTTCCGTTTAGGAAACCGAAACGTTAGACAAATTAAAGTATTTTACCTTTTTGTTAATCTGGAAGAACAAATAAAACATAATGTTTCAACCTGGATTCAAACCGTTCATGATATGTCGTTACGCAAAACAGTTTCAATGGAAGATTATCTATTAAAACTTATAAAATGGCTATTCCTTTCATGCTCAAGATATTTACTGCATAAAATATGTTATTACGAGTCAGAAAAACAAATAACTTATTAATCAGTAGTCTTATGTAGTATACGGGGGTATTCATTATAGCAGTCCTGCGTTAGCAACCTTCGCATGAAGCCAGTGGCGGAAATCTTGGGGGCGAGGTGGCGCCCCCCCCCCCCCAACCTTCACGGAAAATTGATGAATTTTCGGAAATTTTGACCTAAAAGACGGCTAAAAACAGTCTTTTCGAGTGCAAATGGGGGGTATGTCGGAAATTTGAATGTTTTGTCGGAAATTTAGGAGGCTTTGCCACCCCCCCCCCGGAAAAAGTGAATTTCCGCCACTGCATGAAGCTTTGCACCGTGCTCGAGGACTAACGCTTGGCCCATAGTTACGGAAAATAGTTTTCATGGAAGATTGTCAATAACGAGTTAGAAAAATAAATAACTTATTAATCAATGGTCTAGCTTACGTCGCATCCCGGAGGTATTCGTTATAGCAGTACTGAGTTAGAAACCTTCCTATGAAATTTTGCATCGTGTTTGAGGACTACAGCTTGGCTCATAATCACGCAAAATAGTTTTCTTGGAAGACTGTCCATAAAGCCTAATAAAACGCCTATGTTATGCATGCTTGAAATAAATATTATACAGAAGACATTAAGATATTTTTTTTTATTCTTCAGATATTCCTTCCACGTCAACAACTAGAAATAAAAGTAGACCAACTGCATCATCATCGAAAGGTAAGGGTGAGTTATTCAGTGTCACAAAAGTAGTATATGCACAGTGATTACGAGTTAGAAAAACAAATAACTTATTAATCAGTGGTCTTACGTCGCATCCCAGAGGTATTCGTTATAGCAGTCCTGAGTTAGAAACCTTCCCATGAAGCTTTGCATCGTGTTTGAGAACTACATGTTGGCTCATAATCACGCAAAATAGTTTTCTTGGAAGACTGCCCATAAAGCCTAATAAAACGCCTATGTTATGCATGCTTGAAATAAATAATTATATAGAAGTGATTAAGATATTTTTTATTTTACAGATATTTCCTCCATTTCGGCAACTGGAGGTAAAAGTAGACCAGCTGGATCATCATCGAAAGGTATTGTTGAATTATTCAGTGTCACCATAAGCAATAGGCGCTGCACGGTGGTTACGAGTTAGAAAAACAATAATTTATTAAACACGCTAAATCATTTGTGTTTTGTCGCATCCGAGGGTATTTATAGTAGTACTGAATTAATATCCTTCTCATGTAGCATTGTGTTATGCCCAAGGAATACTTTTGGGTCAATAGTAAATTAGTAATTCATGATATGTTGCTAACGCAAAATAGTTTTAAGGGAAGATTGTCGTGAAATCTGATGAGCATAGTCTGTTGTAAACATGTCAAACATTTAATGTCCATGCGAAGTATTCAACTTTAAGCCAGGCGTAATTTTATATATGGTTTTGAAATCACGAACATAATGTTATCGAGTTGCTAAAAGGTCTAGTAATTTTTATTCAAGAAATTGAATGAAATGAAACCATATAATATTATTATTTTTATCAAATTTCAGTGCTATCTTGATTAGGTTTCCAAACGCCTACTGCACGCGGACGCAATTTTTCCCATCAAAGTCTAACTATGATAAAAAATTAATATTCAATATTAGTTTTACTATTTGATTAACGGCTGTGCGGTTTTACAAAGGAAAAGTCATGGAAGACATCAAGATCGTCCATGCACATAATATATGAATCTTACATTAACTATATTTTTTTATTCCTCAGATATTCCTTCCACTTCCACAACTAGAGATAAAAGTAGACCAGCTCCATTATCATCGAAAGGCAAGGGTGAGTTATTCAGTGTCACTATATATAGGTAGTAGATACACAGTGATTACGAGTTAGAAAAACAAATAACTTATTAATCAAAGGTCTAGCTTATGTCGCATTCCGGAGGTATTCGTTATAGCAGTCCTGAGTTAGAAACCTTCCCATGAAACTTTGCGTCGTGTTTGAGGACTACAGCTTGTCTCATAATTACACAAAATAGTTTTCACGGAAGACTGCCCATGAAGCCTAATAAAACGCCTATGTCATGCATGCTTGAAATAAATATTATATAGAAGACATTAACGTCATTAAGATATTTTTTTTATTATTCAGATATTTCTTCCACTTCCACAACTACGAAAGGTAAGTGTGAGTTATTTAGTGTCATTATAAGTAGTAGATCCACAGTGATTACGAGTTAGAAAAACAAATAACTTATTAATCAATGGTCTAGCTTATGTCGCATCCCGGACGTATTCGTTATAGCAGTCCTGTGTTAGAAACCTTCGCATGAAGCTTTGCAGTTTGCACCGTGCTGGAGGACTAACGTTTGACCCATACTTGCAGAAAATAGTTTTCATGGAAGATTGTCAATAAAGCCTAATAAAACGCCTATGTCATGTATGCTTGAAATAAATATTATATAGAAGACATTAAGATATTTTTTTTATTCTTCAGATATTCCTTCCACGTTGACAACTAGAAATGAAAGTAGACCAGCTGCATCATCATCGAAAGGTAAGGATGAGTTATTCAGTGTCACTATATACAAGTAGTAGATACACAGTGATTACGAGTTTGAAAAACAAATAACTTATTAATCAATGGTCTAGCTTACGTCGCATCCCGGAGGTATTCGTTATAGCAGTCCTGAGTTAGAAACCTTCCCATGAAGCTTTACATCGTGTTTGAGGACTACAGCTTGGCTCATAATCACGCAAAATAGTTTTCTTGGAAGACTGTCCATAAAGCCTAATAAAATGCCTATGTTATGCATGCTTGAAATAAACATTATATAGAAGAGATTAATTAAGATATTTTTTATTTTACAGATATTTCCTCCATTTCGGCAACTGGAGATAAAAGTAGACCAGCTGGATCATCATCGAAAGGTATGTTGAATTATTCAGTGTCACCATAAGCAATAGGCGCTGCACGGTGGTTACGAGTTAGAAAAACAATACTTTATTAAACACACTAAATAATTTGTGTTTTGTCGCATCAGAGGGTATTTATAGCAGTACTGAATTAGTATCCTTCTCATGTAGCATTGTGTTATGCTCAAGGAATACTTTTGGGTCAATAGTAATTCATGATATGTTGTTAACGCAAAATAGTTTTAAGGGAAGATTGTCATGAAATCTGATGAGCAGAGTCTGTTGTAAACATGTCAAACATTTAATGTCCATGCGAAGTATTCAACTTTAAACCAGGCGTAATTTTATATATGATTTTGAAATCACGAACACAATGTTACCGAGTTGCTAAACGATCTAGTAAATTTTTCCTAAGAAATTGAATGAAATGAAACCATATAATTTTATTATTTTTACCGAATTTCAGTGCTATCTTGATTAGGTCTTCAAACGGCTACTGCACGCAGACGCAATTTTTCCCATCAAAGTCTAACTATAATAAAAAATTAATATTCAACATCAGTTTTACTATTTGATTAACGGCTTTGCGGTTTTACAAAGATAAATTAACTATTTCTAATTCTAGTACAATTGTTGAGAGAAAAGGAACTGGTCGGCTTAGGAAAAGTCATGGAAGACATCAAGATCGTCCATGGCCGTGAACTCAAAGAAGGGTGGATAGCTATATGTACAGAAAAGATTTTCAAAAACAACCTTAGCTGCTGGAAAGAGTTTCCAACACATTCTGGAGAAATTGAAGAGGGAAGCTTCAGTGCTTGGCCTAAGGAAGAAATAAGAGGTAACATAAGCTAAAAAATTATTGCATATACTATATAGTTTGCCTTCATGCACATAATATATTAATCTTACATTACTGATACAAATAATTAAATAGCTACAAACATTTAATTGTTTTTACGTTTTAGGTTAAACACTTCGTTATACTAACGAGTCGTATAACTAAAATGCGCGGTTCTTTTACGATACCCACTCTCCCATATTCGACCCATAGGAGACTGTCCATTGATTTGAGCTAATAGTATATGAACATTACAAAATAATTGGGTACAATAAAAGTCACATTCTTTTTAAATAAGAATTTAAGAAACTATGCTTTTTGCACTTCAGCTTCGACGCGTTTTAGCCATTTTAAATGATTACACATATTCAAGGAATCATCGTTAAACACAGTGGTGTAGTGCTAAAGAGTATTAATAATAATTTTACTCTAGGGTCTCATAAACATGATTTCTTGCATTTTAAATGATGAATAAAGTTCATAGTTTTATCACATTAAAAGAAGATAATACACTCACTATAGAGGGCTCATTAGTCAGAATACCCTCCTGAATATAAGGAGATTAGCATTCTTGGTGTGACCTTAAAATTTGAATATAAAAAATTGGGGAATAGCTGTGTTTTAATTATTCAAATTGTTTATTTTCAGAAGGATTATTGAGTCAGAAGATTCTGAAGAGGAGGACATTCTGCAAGATGATTTAAAACCGAGGAAAAAACAAACATTGGAATCACCAGGTATATTTGAAACTAGAATATTTGAAAGGGGCATGTGCATAACCTACAAAACCATGGAACATCCAACTTAATTGGAACTTCCACTCCAGCTACTGTTATGTTTGTTAAGTTGAAAATCAAGTGTTTTTAGCACCTAGGTAACGATTGAGTTTCAAATTAAAGCTAACCTCGACCTAAGGGGGCGGAGATAGCAACGTTGTTATTTCGTTGATTTTTTTAAAAATATTAAGTAACATAGCCACCTTAAGGTGGCTCCCTAGGGTTTTATTTCCGGGGGTTACGTCACAGAATAAGGTACACAGAAGGCCGACTTCTTGGTTTTTCCAATGATTTTCCTATGATTTTGGCGTAACCCGTAATTTGTCATCAGTGGTCCTAGCCAGTGCGCGTTTAAGAGGCATTCCCCCCCTTGATGTCCGTCATTTTGAATAATATCAGAGGGTGAATGCCTCTTAAACGCTCACTGGCTAGGACCACGGCGTCAGCATTTGATGACGAATTACGGGTTACGCCAAAATCATAGGAAAACCCAAGAAGTCGGCCTTCTGTGCACCTTATTCTGGGGGTAGGTATTTTTCGAGTTAAGCCCTTCGAGTTAAGCCCTTTTCGAGTTAAGCCCCTGCCACGCCCTTTTTCGCCGTGGGGTTAACTCGAAGTCATTCGAGTTAAGCCCCGACATTTGGTGGATGTAAACAAGTGACGCGTGTATACTCGCAAAAATAGTGACAAATATATGTAAGGAGGGAGAATGTAAAGTTTCAGCAATTTTAAGAAATATATTGTACTTAAATCTCTGTTTCTTTGCCTACAGTTTTATACAGACAATGACATCGTGAAACGAGAGAGCTGTTCAATAAGGATTTGTAAACAACAGTTCATTCATGGCGGCAATTACGGCTTTAAAAACTAAATAATATATAGCGGCACTTGCAGCTATATATTATTTAGATTTTAAAGCCGTAACTGCCGCCCTAGCCTGAATGAGCTGTTGTTTACAAATCCTTATTGAGCTCTCTCGTTTACATCCACCAAATTGTCGAATGCTTAAATCGTTAATTGACTTCGAGTTAAGGCCCCGGCGAAAAAGGGCGTGGTGGGGGCTTAACTTGAAAAGGGCTTAACTCGAAGGGCTTAACTCGAAAAATACATACCCCTTATGTGGTTACGTTCTTCGTATATATGTAAACTAAAACTCGTGTGACTTCCAAATACGAACGTACGTTGTGTTTTAACTCTTTTCGAAACAAAAGTGTCAAGTTTGCTTTAGTTTAAAGCATAAAAAGAATTCTAAAAGCCACTACGATACTTGGATGTGATGTTTCAAAAGAAGATAATGTAAACTTGGTTTTTTCAAGCGGTTTTCTGGAAGTTTTTTGAACCGCCGTACACGAGGTTCGATCGCGAGCATTGGGATATGATATAAAGTTTCCTCAAGAATTTGCAGTGTTTTCTCCACAATCTAGCAGCACTTATGACTTAAAAATGAGCCTTCTACGGGTGAAATGAGCAGGGCCGAAACTCCAAACATACCACTATAAAAACTGAAATTTGAACGGGCATTTTGCGAAAACATCCGACGATAGTACTATAAACTCGCACGGGACGAATTTTGGCAAACATTTTTCAAATTAATACCAAGAAGTTATAACCAGTAATTACCTAAATATCTTTGTCAATTTTTCATGTATAATCCACGCTTAGTTGACCATCAACCGATATAGTTATAAACAGTATATCACTGACATAATTTATATTTTGTGATTTCAAAAAAGTCACGCCTTGTTGTTTTATACAAAATGCATGTACACGTCAGTTGTGGTATTAAATTGTTCGCGTCAAAATCTAGTAAAAATTGCCAAAATTACACCCAAATTTCTGCATTTTCCTTCGGTAAAGTTTTTTAAAACTTTGC